GGTCATGATCCTGGAGTCCCGGGATCGAGTCCCGCATCGGGCTCCCTGCTCGGCGGGGAGTCTGCTTCTCCCTCTGACCCTCTTCCTTCTCGTGCTCTCTGTCTCTCATTCTCTCTCTCTAATAAATAAATAAAATCTTTAAAAAAAAAAAAAAAAGAAAGATCCCAGGGAAGAGCTCTGATTGGTTCAGCTTAAGTCATATGCCCACCCCTGGCTCAATTACCGTGGCCAGGAGGCTAGGATGCTATGATTGGACTGGCTTGAGTCAGATGCCCACCCTTCATGGAACAAGACAGCAGCACCCATTCTAAGTACATGGCTAGAGCCCAGGGAGGAACTGTCCCCAAAGAGAAAGAGGTGCATCTATGCCCAGGAGAAGGGAAAATTGCTATGTTGACAAAGCTAACAGATGCCCACTGCCTGTGGACACACTGTGTGTGTCAACTGTCTGCTGTGTCCATACACACATATATGGGGGGCGGGGGTGGTGTGCAGCTGGAACCAAGATGTATTCATTCTAGGAGTCTCACGGACCTGGAGGCCTGCAGGGGGGCATGCTCCCCAGGAGGTTATTTATGTGACAGAAGGATCACAAAAGACCTGGTCCCTGCCATCTAGAGACTTGCGGGATAATAAGGGGAACAGAATAGAAAGGGTTTCAACTAAGTGGAAAAAAGCCATGGTCCATAAACTTTCTCGAGTAAAAAAAGTTTGAGCCTACATATATGTACGTATATATGTTAATATGTATGCTATAAATCATATGCACAATAGAACATTTAAAGGACAAGAGATATTTTTAAAGCATTATTTTAAGCTTAATTTGTATTATATGTGATTCAAAGGATACTTTGTCCTGTCACTAGAAACGAGGATGTGGGTGAGATAATGTCTAAGGTCAGTTTCAGCTCTGAATGTTACATTCATATTTTATAGACACAGATGACAGGTTACAAGTACTAAGTACATTTTCTCGAGCCCTTTAATACCACTGCCACCAATGGGAATAATTATGAGCCTTATTTAAAAGTTTATTTAAAGGCCCATGTCAAGATCTGAGTGTCATTGGGAAAGGACAAATGGGAAACTTCCAAGAGACACAACAAGGTAACATTTATGTTGGTGAATTCACTGCAGCTCAAGCCTTGGACCTTGCCACAACAAAAACACCAAAATGAGAAATTGCTGGTCACTGAGTGCTTGCTATACGCCAGGCCTTCAGTGATGCGAACACTTGACTTACACTTGTGATTTCTTTTAATCCCATCAACAACCCGAGGATGTGATGTTTGTATTCTCAGTGGGAAGACACTGAAGCCAAGGGAGCATACACCACACCACTTAGTGAGGGAAGGAGCCGGAACAAAAAGATTAATAGTGATCAGGAGCACTTTTTGAACCCTTCACCTGACAGGCACTGTTCTAAGCACTTGAACTAACTCATTTAATCTGCACAACAACTCTGTGAGGTATGTGCTATTATTATTGCTCACTAATAATGAGGAAATGGAGATGCCAAGAAGTTAATGACTTGTCCACATCTAGTAAGTGGGAGAGACCAATGGTCTCGCTTTTCCCTTCCTTCTTTCTTTCTCTCTCACACTCTCTCTCTCTCGATATCAATATAGACACTATTATTTTGCCCCAAGTTTTAAAACATTTGCAATTTGAAAAAATGCTTTCTTTTCTTTTCTTTTCTTTTTCATGATTCAGCAATTCCCTATATTACTCAGGGCTTATCAAGATAAGTGTGTTCTTAATCCTCTTCACCTATTTCACCAATCCTTGGCTCCACTTTCTAAAGCATCATGCACACCATCTCTGCAAGCCCATGAAATTCAGACCAGTGCCTGGTGCTGCCTCCTTTGCACACTGGAAATTTGATCTAAATATTTTCCCACTGTTCCAGGCTCAGAGTCAGGGGTGCTGAATCATGGTGACTCTCAATAGACTGATGGATAAGCCAGAGCATCAGTTTAATCATTTCCAGGGGTGGACTGGACATTTGTATCAGCCTGACCTGCATCTTGTCTCCCAGTAGCTACACGGGAACCTGCATCATCAGACTACCTGGTGAACACAGAAACAGAATAGTGGGTTCTAGAACTGAACTGCTAATGACCCCAGTACCCAGTATCCTATGTCCTGATATGTCTGTCTCCACAGATATGATACATTTTCTTCTGTGTCTGACAGTAAGTTTTTGTTGGTCTGAGAAAGTAGGTCAGACCCTAGACATATCTCAGTGGCTGACTGGTTTCCTCAGCTTGACCCATCTTTTCTTTAGATGTATTAATAATCTGGTCAGTCTCCTGTTGTTCTGGTTGCTGTGGACATTATGCCTTCTCCTGGAGGTGACTTTACCTACCCTTATTCTCTGGTTCACCATTCAATCATCCAAAGATATTTTTGAGCACTTCTGTGTGCAAGAAATGGTGTATACTGTGGAGGGACATTTTAGTGAAAGGGACACATCACTATCATGTAAACTGATGAAAAAATTAAGTTATTTTGGTTAGTGATAATGCTTTGAAAACTTTTGATCGGAGAATCAGGATTGAATGTTGGGATGGAGAAGGGTGTTGAGCTGTAGGCAGAGTGGACAAGGAATGTCTCTCTGAGGAGATAAAGTCTGAACTGAGCCCTGCATGCTAAGAAGGAGCCAGTCTGTTGATCTTAAGAGTTTAGTTCTCAGGGGAAGTGCTTTGGGACTATAATTCAAAGTGGAAGTTCATTGCCTGTCTCTATAGAAACCATGTGGTACAAATTAGGCAGGTATGGTTGCAGTAGTCTTTTGTATTGGGTGATCAAATGGAAAGGCAGCCATGCTTTCCAAATCAAAATTCCAAACTCATCATTTAACGGTAACATGTGGACTGGATTAAACATTTGAAATCAGGGCTATCTTGGATTTTCCAAGGCATGTGATTACCATAATTAATAGGATACAATGGGTTGGCCTGGGCACCTTGACCCCACACTGTTGACGTAGAGAGTGTATTTCCAGTTTCTTTCTTTCTTTTTTTTTAAGAGAGAGTGAGAGAGTATGAGCAGGGGGAAGGGCGGGGGGGGGGGCAGGGGAGAGGGAGAAGCAGGACCCCCACAGAGCAGGAAGCCCAATGTGGGGTTCCACCCCAGGACCCTGAGATCATGACCTGAGCCAAAGGCAGAAGCTTAACCGACTGAGCCACCCAGGAACCCCATGTATTTCTAGTTTCTGGAAAGCCAAATAACAGATGAACAAATGGAATAAAACCACGTGTCATTTGGCACCGTATCTTTTTTCCCCAACTACATTACATATTCTTCCCTCAGAGCAAAGTCTGACTTTTATACATTTTGAATCCCTCAAAGCACCTCGCCGAGTGCTGGGCCCGTAGAAGACACACAAGGCCCGCGTTTGCCTTACATTTTCAACCTGCGCTTGACTTGGAGGGAGCAAGCCCTTCCGCGGTCGCACACTCTGGCCCGAGCGCCGAGCTGCTGTTCATCCTCCTGCCGCACGGCGGCGCCCTGGAAATCCCGCGCGGTGAGGTCAAGCCGCTGGAGCCGCTCTTGGCGCGGGAGGGCCGAACTCCCACAATGCATCTTGTATCAACACGGCCCTGGTGGCGGCTTTGAGGAGGGGCAGGGGGCGCCCACCGGACCGGCACGCGGCACGAGGGGTATCAGGCGGGGCCCGGGTGTTGAGGGGCGACTGGCGGCCATGGCGGAGTCGGCGCCTGCTCGGGTAAGGGTGCTCCCGGCACGGATCGCGGGCGCATTCGGGATGGCGGAGCTCCTGGCCGGGGCGGGGCTTTGAGGTTCGCACTCCGGTGGGGCTGGGGGTCCCGGGGCTCCCCGGGCTGCTCCTAGCGAACACCGGCCTCCTCCCACGACCCCAGGGCTCTGCCTTCTCCCTCTCCGGCTCCTTCCCGGTCGGGCCGGAGCCCCAGCGCCACACACCGTTGCCGAGAAACTTCTCCGAGGCTTGTTTCGTGTTTTTTTGTTTTTTTTTTTAGTATTTTTGTTTTTTTGAGAGAGCGCGCGCGAGAGTGCGCGCACGAGCTGGGGGAGGGGCAGAGGGAGAGATTTTTCTTTTTTTCTTCAGAGAGAGGAGAGAGCGAGCGCGGGGCGGGGGAGGGGCAGAGAGAATTTTTTTTTTTTTTTTTTTTTTAAGAGAGCGCGAGCGGGGGGCGGAGGGGCAGAGGGAGAGAGAATTTTTTTTTTGAGAGAGCTGGATGGGTGGGGGAGAGAATATTTTTTAAGAGCTCGCGGGGGGGGCGGGCAGAAGGAGAGAGAATCTTTTCTTTTTTAGAGAGAGCGGGGGGTGGGGTGGGGTGGGGGGAGGGGCACAGGGAGAGAGAAAATCTTAAGCAGGCTCCATGCCCATTAGGGAGCCGGAAGTCGGGCTCCAGCTCATGACCCTGAGATCATGACCAGAGCCGAAATCAAGAGTCAGTGGCTTAACTGACTGAGCCACCTAGCAGCTGGAAAATGTAAAGGATATACCAGGTAAAAGGAAAATTATCCCAAATGTAAAGTCTGAAAATGTAAGAAAGTATGATGATCCATGGAAATGGGTAAATCTGAACAAATATTGACTGAATGAAACAGTACTGATCTTTTGTGAGGTTAAAAACAAAGGCACATTAAAATACGTGGCAGCATTGATGTAAAGGTTAGGAAGAGATCAGAATTCATTTGTTTAAAGGTCTTATAAATATACTTCCCGTGATAATCTAGGATACTTGCTAAGACAAGAAATGGGCTGTAAAACTTACAAGTTAGAAGAGGAAATAGTAGAATAAGAAAAAAAATCACCTAAAGGAAGGCAAGAAAGACGAGCACCAAAAAAGGCAAAAAATCAATAAAAATAGATCAACAGTTAAAATAAATGTAAATGGAGTAAATGTTCTAGTTAAAAAGCAGAAAGTTGTCAGATGGTTTGTAAGAGATACAAAAGACAAAACTACAGAAATGGTTGAACATAAAAGAATATGAAAACAAATCAGACTAATCAAAAGAAAATTGGTTCAACTGTATTAATACTGCTAGAGATCGAGGCTACTACTACTTTTGTAATGGTAAGACTCAATTTATCAGCTTGATATTCTAATATTTTGCATGTAATTATATAGTCTCAAAATATATAAAACTGTCAACTACAAGGAAAACTGGCATGGTAGAAGACTGTAACAAAACCTTAGTTTTTATCAAGCAGGAAAAAAACCTTAGGGTGTAGTGCATCCGATAGAACTTTCTGAGATTATGGAAATATTCTGCTTTGCACTGTTCAATATAGTCACTAGAAATACATGGCTATTAAGTATTTGAAATGTAGGTAGTATGGCTGAGGAACTGAATTTTTAATTCAGTTTTAATTAATTTAGATTTAAATAGCCATGTGTTTCTAGTGGCTTTTGGACAGCACAGATACAGATTTCATTAATCCATGTATCTTGTCCAAACATAATATCAATGTATAGGCATGCCTCAGTTTATTGAGCTTTGCTTTATTGCACTTTGCAGATGCTGTGGTTTCTTTTTTTCCCCCCACAAATTGAAGGTTTGTGGCAACCCTGTGTCGTCTCTCAGCTGCCATTTTTCTAACAGCATTTGCTCATTTTGTGTCTCTGTGTCACAATTTGGTAATTCTCAACACTATTTTAAACTTTTTCATTATTATTATATTTGTTACGGTGTTCTGTGATCAGTAATTGTGCTTGCTTAAAAACTCAGATGATGGTTAGCCTTTTCTTGCAATAAAGTATTTTTAAATTATAGTATGTACTTTTTTTTTTAGTTATGCTGTTGCTCACTTAATAAACCAGTAAATTTATATGCCCTGGGAAACCAAAAAATTCTTTTTACATGCTTTATTATGATATTTGCTTTATTGTGGTGGTCTGGAACCAAATTTGCAGTGTTTCTGAGGTATGCCTGTATAGAGAGATTAATGAAGAAAAAATGAGAACAAAAGAGCCTTTTATTTTTTTAATTTATTTTTTAAAAGGTTTTATTTATTTATTTGACAGAGAAAGACAGTGAGAGAGAGGGAACACAAGCAGTGGGAGAGGGAGAAGCAGGCTTCCCGCTGAGCAGGGAGCCCGATGTGGGCCTTGATCCCAGGACCCCGGCATCATGACCCAAGCCTAAGGCAGTCGCTTAACAACTGAGCCACCCAGGCGCCCCCAAAAGAGCCCTTTTAGAAATGAAAGTGTGTTCTGGCAGTTGACTGTAGGCTGGGACTGTAGGTAGGGCTGTTAAACGGAGTATCTCTGCGTGCTTTCTCCATGTGGCTTGGGATTTTTCAGGTGTTTTTCAGAGCCTGCCTGCCTATGATTTGTTCCACTTGACATAGAATGGAGCAGAGACAAACTGTTCTGACAAACCCTTCTTGAATTGCAGATTCATGAGCAAAGTAGATGTTGTTGTCTTAAGCCACTAAATATTGGGATTATTTGTTGGGTAGCGATCAGTGGTTGGAACAAGTACCTAGGGAATATATTAAAATGTTGAAAGAGGGGCACCTGGGTGGCTCAGCCGTTAAGCGACTGCCTTCAGCTCGGGTCATGATCCCAAGGTCCTGGGATCGAGCCCCACATCAGGCTCCCTGCTCAGCGGGAGGACTGCTTCTCCCTCTCCCTCCCCCTGCTTGTGTTCCTGCTCTCGCTATCTCTCTCTCTCAAATAAATAAATAAAATCTTTAAAAAAAAAATAAAATCTTGAAAGATATTAAAAATACCTTGAAAAAGGAGTGGCAAACTGTGTATGGATACATTTATCTATGGATTTGATACAGACAAAATCTCTAAAGACATTTTTGTGAGACTTCTTTTTTTAAAGATGTTTTATTTATTTGAGAGAGACTGCACACATGCATACTTGGGAGGGTGGGGAGGAGCAGAGGGGGAGAAGCAGAGGGGGAGGGAGAAGCAGGCTTCCCTGCTGAGCAGGGAGCTTGAGCGGGCCTTGATCCCAGGACCCTGGGATCATGACTTGAGCCAAAGACAGAGCCACCCAGGTGCCCCTGTGAGACCTTTCAAGTGTGTAAAGAATATCAACATTCAGTATAGTCAAGATGATCCTATAAAACAAGGAAGTGGGACTTGTCTTACCAAATATCAGTAATTATTTTTTAAAAAGCTGTGGTTGTTAAAACTATAATATTGGTAATTCAATACGAAAAATACCCTACAGAACAAGACTAGAGATGCCAGAGACAGATTGCTATGTATGAAAATTTGATTCATGACAGAGATAGTATTACAAATCTTTGGGTATATCGATGGATTTTTCATCATATAATATTAGATCTATTGATTTCCTGTATGAAAATTGAGCCCTGCACCACACACAAATATCAATTCTAGTTGAGTTACTCAAATGAGAAAACAAAACTATATGAGTGTTTAGAAGACAGTATTGTGGGATATCAGTATTTTTTTTTCGCCCGACACAGAAGTTCAAACCATAAAAGAATTCTGATGAAACTCAACTACATTAATTTTTTTATTAAATAATAAAGTGAATTTTAAAAATGCACAAATAAGGAGAAAATGTTTGCAACACGTATAGCATGGATAAAGATTAGTATCCAGAATTTTCAGAGAAATTCTGAGATAGAAAGTCCGATAACCCAAAAGATAAACGGGTAAAAGACTTGAGCAGGTAGTTCACTGAAGGTATTTGAATGGCCAGTAAATATTGAAAAGATGCTTACCCTTATTAGTAATCAAGGAAAGTGTAGATGGAAACCATGATGACATATTTCAGACCTCCTGGAGGGACCAAATTTTAGTCTTACAGTAGCAAGTGTTGACATAGTTGGGAAACATCCACAATACTTACATACTTCTGACAGGAGTGAAATTCGTACAACCACTTAGAAAACATTTGGCATTATTTACTGAAGTTCAGGTTGTGTATATACCCTGTTAGCCAACAATTCCTTCCTAGGACTATACCCTCAGGAAACTTGCCCATGTGTACTAGGAGCTGTGCCCAGTCCTGTTCGTTGTAGGCACTACTTGTAATGACAAAGATGGGGACACCAATAATGGAATGGAAAAGGAAATTGTGGTATTGTCACAGCAGAATATTATGCAGAAGCGAAAATTAATTATAGCCATCTGCAACAGCAGGATGTTCTCAGGAGTTGTGTAATAAGGATTGTATTTATATAAAGTCCTAAGATAGGCAAAACTGAAGAACACGTATTGTTTTGGGAAAAAAGCATTTGGTGAAAATGTGAAAAAAGACAGTTACTAGTGAAAAATCAAATTCAGGATAGTAGTTACTTTAGGGAGTTGTACAGAGGACTTCAGAGGCAATATTTGTGTAACTGAGTGGTAGTTAATGGAGATTTGTTGCCATTACCTTACACATCTTATGTATTGTTTTAAGTTGTTTTTTTTTTTAACTATTCAATATTAGAAAGTCATGGTATCTCAGAGTTGGAAGTGACCTTAAATATTATCTAGTCCACCTTAGATACCACTTTATAATGTTATTTATTTTGTATTTTACTTCAGCAGATTGAAGGTTTCTTAGCAACAGGGACCGTGTCTTATACTTAATGGTGACAGGTTTCAGACTGTAGTGACAGGCCCATTGTATGATACTTGATCTGACAGTATGATAGAATATCCAAGCGGGACTGCCCCAGAAAATCCAGACGTATGGGGAATGTAAGTGTACTTTTTGTATTTCTCACTGCCATCAGGGATACTCTTAAATATGGGATTTATGTAAAAAAAATTACAGAAAAATACATGTTTATTGAAGAAGTCAAACAAGCAATAGTTTACAAGGAAAGATTAAAATCTCTCCCTCTCATCTTCCTGAGGCAAGTCATGTTAACAATTTAGTTTGGTGAATATCTTTCCAGACCTTTCTGTGGGCTGAAACAAACATATACTCATATATGTTTTCTCTTCTTCAGGAAAGTGGGATCATAATAAATATATTTCCCTAAAAGTTGGATTTTTAACCAACATGGTATGATGAAGCTCTTCCAAACCATACATACAGGTCGTTACTTTTAAAGGTAGTATAGTGTCATTTTTGGTTGTGCCGTAATTTATTCCTTTATGAGTAGACCTTGAGATTATTTCCAAGCTTTGACTTTTCCAAAAAATATTACCAGAATCATATTTGTATGAATGTCAGTAAATAATGTCATTTTTTTTAAAGATTTTATTTATTTATTCATGAAAGAGAGAGAGAGTGGCAGAGGGAGGAGCAGGGAGCCCGATGCGGGACTCGATCCCAGGACCCTGGGATCATGATCCGAGCCGAAGGCAGACGCTTAACCATCTGAGCCACCCAGGCGCCCAATGCCATTTTTTTTTTTTTTTTAAAGATTTTATTTATTTATTTGACAGAGAGAGACCGTGAGAGAGGGAACACAAGCAGGGGGAGTAGGAGAGGGAGAAGCAGGCTCCCCGCTGAGCAGGGAGCCCAGTGCGGGGCTTGATCCTAGGACCTCAGTACCATGACCCAAGCCAAAGGCAGATGCCCAACGACTGAGCCACCCAGGCACCCCAATGCCATTTGTTTTTATAAGATAGATTCCCGGAAGTGGGATTGCTAGGGGAAAGGATTTTAAGTGACTTTTATGAGATTTCCTTCCATAAAGTTTGTAATATTTTTCATTCCTTCCGGGAATGTTAATGAAAGTGCCAGTTTTATATCCTACTCACCTCTGAATGTAGTTCCTAATCCCTCTTGTTCAAGTGTGTCAGCCTCGTGGGTGAGAAGTGGTTTTCCTGGGTTGTATTTGCACTCCTAACTGCTTTTTTTTTTTTAAAGATTTATTTATTTATTTATTTGAGAGAGAGAGAGAATGAGAGATAGAGAGCACGAGAGGGAAGAGGGTCAGAGGGAGAAGCAGACTCCCCGCCGAGCAGGAAGCCCGATGCGGGACTCGATCCCGGGACTCCAGGATCATGACCTGAGCCGAAGGCAGTTGCCCAACCAACTGAGCCACCCAGGCGCCCCTGCACTCCTAACTGCTTCTTGACCACTTGCATTTCTGCTCTCATAATTACTTACAGTTTGCAGTTCTTTTTAGGGTTATTTTTTTCTTCCCATTTCATACTTTGTTTATAAATATCCACTCCCCGTTTGTTTTTATACATTTAGTTTATGGCATTCTTCATGGCAGCTAACATTTTCTTCTATCTTGATACTCCAAGTCGTGCTTAGTGAGATAATTTACATACAATAAAATTCACTCTTCAGGCATACAGTTGAGTGAGTTTTGATAAATGTGCAGCCATCATCAGAATACCAAAATAAAGAATATTTCCATCATCCCAGTAAGTGTTCCTTTGCATTCACTCTCCTTCCCCCACCCCAGCCCCTGGTAACCACTGATCTGTTTTTTTTTTTTTTAAAGATTTTATTTATTCATTTGAGGGAGAGAGAGCACAAACGGGGAGAGGCAGAAACAGACTCCCAGCCGAGCTGGGAGCCTGACATGGGGCTCGATCCCAGGACCCTGGGATCATGACCTGAGCCCAAGGCAGACGCTTAACCATCTGAGCCGCCCAGGCGCCCCCCTGATCTGTTTGCTGTCCCTATAGTTTTGCCTTTCCTGAATGTCATGTAAATGGAATAGAGTAGGTGACATTTTGTGTCTGGCTTCTTTCATGTAGCATAGTCATTTTGAGATCTATATTGTTCGGTGTATCAATAATTTGTTCCCTTTTTATTGCTAATGTGTGCTTAACACATTACTAATACATTAATAATGTAACAGTATATTATCGTATGGTGTGTTAGTACTCTAAGGCTGCTGTAACGAAATACTGCAAATTGAGGGGCTTACACACCAGAAGTGTACTGTCTTACAGTTCTAGAGGCTGGAAGTCTGAAATCAAGGCGTCCACAGACTTGATGCCTTCTTAGGGCCACGACGGAGAATCTGTTCCAGGCTTCTCTTAAAGCTTGTGATGGCCCCACACATTTTCTTGGCTTGTGGCAACAAAATCCTGACCTCTGCCCCTGTTGTCATGTAGTTGTCTTCTCCCTGTGTGTGTCTTCACATCATCTTCCCTAAGTGCACGTCTGTCTGTGTCCAGATCTCTCCCCTATTTTATAAGGACATCAAATCATATTTGATTAGAGCCCATCTGATGACCTCATTTAACTTGATTACCTCTGTAAAGATTCTTCTCTCAAGATCACATTCTGAGGTACTGGGACTTGGGACTTCAACATATCTTTTTGGGGAAATAAAATTCAACCCATAACAGATGGTTGGACCATGGTTTGTTTATTGATTTACCAGTCGATGGACATTTGAATTGTTTCCATCTCAATAGGAAGTTCAAAACAGAAGAAGAAGCTTTATTTAACACCTCTTTTCTGCTTTTTGCTTAGTGCTCAGATCCTGATCCACCTTCCTTTGCTAAGCAGGCAACAAAATGCTGGGCCACAGAAAGGCAGGAAGAGGCTCCAGAAAGCTAGAGATGAGCAACTGAAAGTGAAAAGCAGAACATGGGATGAAAGGAGCCTGTCCAACAGTCTGACGTTATGTTTTGTTTCATTTGTGTTTATTTTTAATGTAAAAGCTAAGTTTACATTAAACTTTTATTTAAATCTTTCTTAGGGGGGACAGTTAAGCTTTAAACTTACCACATGTTCGATAATGAACTGAGTTGAGTCACTGGAGTAGGTCATGGCCAAGCTTACGGGTTCATTTCTCTGCCAGTTGGGTTCGTTTTGTCCCCTCTTTTCTCCAGACACTAAGTCCTGGCCCTAGCGGTTCTTTCAAAGCTGTTTCCTCTCAGTGTCTGTTCATGTGGGTAGAGAAGCAGCCTTGAAGAAAGTGTATGCCATAGAAAAGAACATGAAGCTTTGGGGCTTGAGGACTGAAATGAACATACAGTGGTACATTGGGGCCAGAGGGCCCAGAGGGAGCGGTGGGGAGACTCCCCACATGTTGGCTTTAGTAATGTTGCGCTTCAGCTGTAGTGATTTTCCTCCTTAGGGACAGATCATAAAAATGAACTGTGTAAGGACAATGTCAGTAGGCTTCGTCAAATCGCTTCAATAAACATTTATGAAGGATTTAGTTGGGGACGCCTGAGTGGCTCAGTCGCTTAGGTGTCTGCCTTCAGCTCAGGTCATGATCCCAGGGCTCCGGGATCGAGTCCTGTGTAGGCTCCCTGCTCGGTGGGGAGCCTGCTTCTCTCTCTGCCTGCCCCTCCCCCTGCTTGTGCTCTCTCTTTCTCTCTCTGACAAATACAAAATCTTTAAAAAAAAGGATTTACGGGCGCCTGGGTGGCTCAGTTGGTTAAGCGACTGCCTTCGGCTCAGGTCATGGTCCTGGAGTCCCGGGATCGAGTCCCACATCGGGCTCCCTGCTCGGCAGGGAGTCTGCTTCTCCCTCTGACCCTCCCCCCTCTCATGTGCTCGCTCTCTCTCATTCTCTCTCTCAAATAAATAAATAAAATCTTTAAAAAAAAAATAAAAAAAATAAAAAAAAGGATTTAGTTGGTGTTAATCACTGTACTAGCTGCTTGGGTGCAAAGATAAATGAGTTGAGCCCTATAGGTCCTGCTGAGGAATTGTGTCTTTGTTCGTCTTAGAGAATATGTCAAGTGTGAAGTGCAGGTAGTAAGACATTATGTACAATATGATTTCAACTTTGTGGAAAACAAAAGACTAAAAAAAAAAGCTTAAGATAAATACATCAAAATTCTGACAGCTTATTTCTGAATGGTGGTATTTTACATAACTTTTTCTTCCTACTTTTCAGTACATTCTTACTATAATGTATGTGTATAATTTGCAGTATCAGAATATAAAAGAGCATGCTTTAAAAAAAAAAAAAAGGTAGAAACTAGGTAGTTCTAAGCACACTTGGACCCCCTGGACCCATTGTTTTCTTTACTTGATGTTTGGAAATGACACCGACTGACACTGTGTCTGATTCTTCATTCAGCACAGGAGGAAACGCCGCTCCACACCTTTGACTTCCTCCACACCACCCCCACAAGCAACAGAGAAAAGCTCTTACTTGCAGACCACAGAGCTCTCACTCTGGACAGTGGTGGCTGCCATTCAGGCCGTGGAGAAAAAGATGGAGTCCCAGGCCGCCCGGCTACAGAGCCTGGAGGGGCGGGCGGGGACGGCCGAGAAGAAGCTGGCCGACTGCGAGAAGACGGCCGTGGAGTTCGGGAACCAGCTGGAGGGCAAGTGGGCCGTGCTGGGGACCCTGCTGCAGGAGTACGGGCTGCTGCAGAGGCGGCTGGAGAACATGGAGAACCTGCTGAGGAACAGCAACTTCTGGGTCCTGAGGCTGCCCCCGGGCAGCAATGGAGAGGTTCCCAAGGTAGTCCCCTTGGGGATTAAGAGTTAGCCTACTGCGCCTGGGTGGCTCAGTTGATTAAGCATTTGCCTTCAGCTCAGGTTATGATCCCGGAATCCCGGGATCGAGTCCCATGTTGGGCTCCCTGCTCATCAGGGAGTCTACTTCTCTCTCTGCCCTTCACCCTGCTTGTGCTGTCTCTCGCTCGCTCACTCTCTCTCAAATAAATAAAAATCTTTAAGGGCGCCTGGGTGGCTCAGTCGGTTAAGCGGCTGCCTTTGGCTCAGGTCATGATCCCAGGGTCCTGGGATCGAGCCCCACGTCCGGCTCCCTGCTCGGCAGAGAGCCTGCTTCTCCCTCTCCCTCTGCCTGCCACTCTGCCTGCTTGTGCTGTCTCTCTATCTGTCGAATAAATAAATAAAATCTTTAAAAAAAAAAATATGGTCACCTGTGAGCAACCCTTTAGAAAAAAAAAAAAGCCTATAAATGGGGAGCCCTTCCCTTTATTATTTAAAATTGTAAGTTGCTTTTCTTTTGTGGCTATGATGGGAGGCACTCATTGTACAATATTTGTGATTTCAGGTATCCAGGTCACTTGAAAATGATGGAGTCTGTTTCTCTGAGCAGGAGTGGGAAAATCTGGAGGACTGGCAGAAGGAGCTCTACAGAAATGTGATGAAGAGCAACTATGAGACTCTGGTCTCTCTGAGTAAGTAGCACTTTTCCCCCGAGAATTCTCTTTCAGACATCTTTACATCCCTGGCCAAGTAGCATGTGACTCAGACTACACTTGGCTTTGGCTCCTCTGTTGGTCTGGGCTGGGTTGAGAAATGGGAGTCTCCAAAAAAGAGAGAGAGGGAAACAAAACGTAAGAGACTCTTGATGATGGAGAACACACTGAGGGTTGATGGAGGGAGGTGGGTGGGGAGTATGGGCTAGATGTGTGATGGGCATTAAGGAGGGCCCTTGTTGGGATGAGCGGTGGGTGTTACATGTAAGTGATGAATCACTAAATTCTACTTCTGAAAACAATATTACAGTATATGTGAACTAACTAGAATTTAAATAAAAATTTGAAAAATAAGAGAAATGGGAGTCTTTAGGTCCTCAATTCATGAAGACTTTTGGAAAGGTCTTGGTGTTGTGTGTTTTGTATTTCTTTTCTCTGTGGTCACATAGTTCTTGATAATATTTACTAATAGAAAAGATGTTATCATTATAGTGTAATGTATATTGTAGTGTGTGACCAGGGTTCCTTATGCTGTTTTTAATACTTAAAACTGTTTGACAAGAGGGGCGCCTGGGTGGCTCAGTCGTTAAGCAACTGCCTGCAGCTCAGGTCATGATCTCAGGGCCTTGGGATCGAGCCCCACAGCGGGCTCCCTGCTCTGCGGGAAGCCTGCTTCTCCCTCCCCCACTGCCCCTACTTGTGTTCCCTTTCTCGCTGTCTCTCACTCTGTCAAATAAATAAATAAAATCTTTAAAAAACAAAAAACAAAACAAAAAACTGACAAGAAATTCTTGGTTACCTGAGATGAGGCAGGTAGCACAGGTTAACCAAAAAATTTTTCTTGGCCTTGGCTGGAATTACATTCAGTCCCTGTGAGCTCAGTGTTAATTAGAAGTGCTGCTTAATAGATATACATTTTTATATATAAAATATTAGTTATTAGTAGATTTTGGTAGACAAAAATTTTCTTTTTTAAGATTTTATTCATTTATTTATTGGAGAGAGTGATCATGGGGAGGAACAGGAGGAGAGGGACAAGCAGACTGCACAGAGCCTGACGTGGGGCTTGACCCCACAACCCTGAGACCATGACCTGAGCCAAAATCAAGAGTCAGACACTCAACCGACTGAGCCACCCAGGTGCCTCCGGCAAAATCTTTCATTTATTTTATTTTATTTTTTAAAGATTTTGTTTATTTGACAGAGACACAGCGAGAGAGGGAACACAAGCAGGGGGAGTGGGAGAATTTGAGAAGCAGGCTTCCCGCCAAGCAGGGATCCCGATGCGGGACTCGATCCCGGGACCCTGGGACCATGACCTGAGCCGAAGGCAGACGCTTAACGACTGAGCCACCCAAGCGCCCCCTGACAAAATCTTTTAAAACTGAGGTCCATGGAGAAGTATCCAAAGGGCCAGTGTGACTAGAGCAGAGAGGGAAATAGCAGAAGGGTCGGGGGGTTGTGTGACCTGAGCCGAGTTCTGTGCTCTGCTAGTGGCTGTTTCCTTCTCTGTCCCAGCTGGGGATAATGGTGCCTGCCTCACCTTGCAGCGTGTCAGTGCGGATGAAATTCGATGTGCTGGAAGGAAGCAGCACTTGAGACCATGTACAAGTGAGGGCAGGGTGGTGGGGGAAGGGGAGTGGGCTGGGGAGCCTGACTGCTGGAGCCACAGTGACTAATGAAGGAGCGTTGAAGGCAGCAGCTGACTGAATAGATTTTTCAAATTGGCTCTAATTTTCTAGTCCCAAGCTGCCACTGGCAGGAAAGTGGGAAGAACAGTAGCCTTTTAATCTTTGGAACTTTTAATATCAACCCTCTGACATTGGTCACCTTGTTCATTGGCAACTGACCAGTGCGCAGTGAGCTTTTACTATCTCCTGGGCTCACACTGTGCCTATTCCAACCCAGAGGTCCTTGGCCAGACAGAAGGAGAAGCGGAATTGGGTGCAGGGATGCTGGGTGACTTGGAGGAGGAAGGCCCTGGTGATGTCCACCCAGGTGAGTGGATCCAGAATATTCCATCCCTCTCTCCACTCCTTGCAGCCTATAATGAGTTTTCCCACTGCTAAACTGCCAAACACTGATTATCAGCAACCTCATCTGGTATTATTTATTTTAGATTTCTTTATGATTTTCATTAGTTCACCTAACATATATGTGTCTTCATTTATTACCACTGTGGAGTCCTTAAGTATTGTGACATATCCTACTTCATGTCTACGCTACTGTACAGAGTAGAATAGCTCAAGTGAAAACGTGCTGGAGATTGAGGATAGGCTTGGTCACATCTTAGGAATGAAGTTGTCTGGGTGAGAGGCAGGCAGAGCATTTATAAACCAGGTATTTGGGGGGAATGTGCAGGAAGACTGGGGCTGGATATGTGAATATTTAAGCTTTAGCCTTAAGGATGGTTGGGTTTTTTTATTTTAATTGTTCACATTTATTATTTTAAACTCTTTAGTTATAGTATAATTTGCCATTTTTTTTAAAAGATTTTTTTATTTATTCATCTGAGACAGATACAGAGAGAGAGCATGAGCAGGGGGAGAAGCAGAGGGAGGGGGAGAAGCAGGCTCCCCGCTGAGCAGGGAGGCCTATGCGGGGCTCGATCCCAGGACCCTGGGATCATGACCTGAGCCGAAGGCAGACACCCAACCATCCGAGCCACCCCGGTGCTCCAATTTGCCATTTTATACAGGAATTGAATACAAATTTATGGACAAGCTTAGAGAACTATCATTTATAACATTGTTCTAGAAAAATAATAGATTTCTCTACCTGAATATGCGTTTAGTTTTTCAGGTCTTAGAACCCAGACTCCTTCTCCAAAGTGTCCTAATGCCCTTATCCTGGGGTGCTTTGATTTGAGTTCTTCTGAAATTCACAGATGTTGTTTAGCTCTGAAGAAACCAAAAGTGCTAGAATGTGATCTTTTTTGGTCTTCTCTTTCTCGGCAGCAGAAGGGGTTATGATCAAGCAGGAGATCCAGTACGCTCAGGAAGGCTCTGCAGATCTTCCTGGAGAGTTCTCAGGCATTGCCGAAGAGCAGGCTTTCCTGAGCCCAGAGCATACTGAACTCTGGGATGGTCAGGGTGGTGCTGTCCTCTTGGATTCAGGCCCTGGGGACACTAATCTGGAGGATCCCATTGAGGGCAGTAGAGACCCTAGCAGCGGCAGAACTCTGAGCTGCCCCCCAAAGCAGAAACCTAGTAGGCAGGCGCAGCTGGGTCAGGAATGCGGGCAGGGCCTAAAGCTGAAAAGGGACACTTCTGGCCCCTATGGATGTTCCGAGTGCGAGATCAGCTTCCACTATAAGCAGCAGCTAGCTACACATCTGCAGACCCACTCAGGGTGGGGGACTTACACAGCCTCGGAGCCAGAGGAGAGCCTTAGACCCAGGCCACAACTTAAGCCCCAGTCCAAGAGGGCAAAGATGCATCAGTGTGACGTGTGCATGAGGAGCTTCAGCTGCAGGGTGAGCCTGGTAACCCACCAGCGCTGCCACTTGCAGGAGGGTCCCAGTGCTGGCCACTGTGTCCAGGAGAGGTTCTCGCCCAACAGCCTGGTTGCCCTGCCTGGCCACATCCCTTGGAGGAAAAGCCGGAGTTCCCTCATCTGTGGTTACTGTGGCAAGAGCTTCAGCCATCCATCTGATCTGGTGCGGCACCAGCGCATCCACACGGGCGAACGGCCCTACAGCTGCTCAGAGTGTGAGAAGAGCTTTGTCCAGAAGCAGCACCTTCTGCAGCACCAGAAGATCCATCAGCGGGAGCGGGGCCTGGCCCTGGAGCCTGGAAGGCCCAATGGCCTGCTTTAAGGGTGCCAGCCCCTTGTCCGTCTGGGGGGGGGGGCAGTAGGGGCTGGCATTGGTCCCCCCGAACAGACACTGTGCAGAGTCAGGGACTGACTTCTTCCTGAGGAGAGTCGCTTTGATTTGCCTTCCCTTGGCCAAGCACCAGGCCAAGCCCAGAGGCCGTGAAAACTATGGAAGAGGAGGAGTCCAGGGCCACTCCTCTCTCTGCTGTCTCTGCCCTGCTGTGGAGCTTGTTGTTTCTGGCACCTTCAAGTCTCTGGTTTTCCCATCAGGGCTGATATTCATGGGCTGGGGTTGGCTCTCTGAGCCTGCAGGGACTGGTGGCTGGTTCCAGGTCCTGTCCCAGCATTTCAGGTCTTCCCATGAGGTTGGGTCGGGCCAGGGGAGTGAGCAGGTATGTGGAAGAGTTCTGGGACTCATAACCCGCTCTTTCCTCTTTTGTAGTCTCTGTTAAAAACGAGTCGAAGAAATAATTTAAATGATTGCTTACCCTGTTCTGAGGAAACTTTTTTGGAATTAGATTTTAGTTGACTTAAAAAAATACAGTCTGACACTTGTGTTTTTTTTAATCTCCAGCATTGTAGAAGTTGTTCCTAACATGGGGACTGGGCCTACCCTCTACGAGGGATTTGTTTATGGGGCTCTTTTAGCCCATCCACAGTTAGGTCAGAGATCGGGGGCAGAGTGTTGATGAGCTGCTCGTGGGGGTCCTTGCTCACACGGGGCTGAGTCCAGAGGAGCAAGAGGAAGAGAGTGGGAAGACCTCAGACCCCTGCTGAGAACGAAGACTGCTGTGTGGGAGTCGAGAGCGTGTTGCTGCTGCTCGGGAACCCAGGTTTCTCACCACCATCCTCTCCCTCTTACAACGTGGTCCTCGCTGGGCGCCGCCGCCGCCCAGGGTAGAAGACTGCTTTGTTATTTCTGGTTGTCTGACTTGTTCCGGTGGGTGTTGGAGTTTGTTCTTACTACACCAGTTGTTTCTGGAGATTGTGTAGATAACACATTTTTCAAATGAGTTCTGGGATTGACTGTTCCAGAGGGCATGGAGAAAAAGCACAAAAATGCTTTGCTTCTCAGGAGTGTTGAATGCCTGCCCCACTGTTGTTTGGGGAGATGGGAGGGGGCTTCCGGGTCCTATGTGAATGGTCCCCTTTGATGATTTACAGTTGCTTAGAATAAAACTTGCTACTAGCAAAAAAACTCATGTTGGATATTTTTCTCCCTTTGTCAAGAATAACAGTATGTTATTCAGCAGTAATGCCTGCCAAGCATACATGGTAGAAAGTACTTTAGTATGTCATGCAGCTTGCTCTTTGCCTTTTTTTTTTTAAGATTTTATTTGTCAGAGAGAGAGCACAGGCAGGGAGAGCGGCAGGCAGAACGAGAAGCAGACTCGCCGCTGAGCAAGGAGCTCGATGTGGGACTCAGTCCCAGGACCCTGGGATCATAACCTGAGCTGAAGGCAGACGCTTAACCGACTGACCCACCCAGGCACCCCTTATTTCATTATTCTTATAAAATATTTTAAGTTAACTGTAGAAAAAGTTGTCACATGCTAATCTGCATTTCAAATGTAGAACTGGGCATTAACTTCTGGGTGTCTTTTGTTTGTGTGGGAGGAATCCTTATGACAAAACCCACCAAAACATCAGCAGTTCTAGCTACTGGCAAAATCTAGAGGGGAAATCTGGAACCTCCAGATGGGGTTCATGTGAGGGGATTATTTATTATAGTTTCTTGTTTCCAGGTTGTAATGCTAGAATTTGATTTCTTTTTGTATGTTTACCTTCATTTGGAGCTAAGGAATAGGTAGATGGTTTGTGCAAGAACTTAATGTGGGAATTGTAGGTTTATCTTTTTTTTTTTTTTAAAGATTTTATTTATTTGAGAGAATGAGAGAGAGAGCCTGAGAGGGGGGAGGATCAGAGGGAGAAGCGGACTCCCTGCTGAGCAGGGAGCCCGATGCGGGACTCGATCCCGGGACTCCAGGATCATGACCTGAGCCGAAGGCAGTCGCTTAACCAGCTGAGCCACTCGGGTGCCCCTGTTTTAAATACTTGGGATACATAAGTGTACAAACAGGTCTTTGCTCTAGTTGAATTTATATTGTATCAAAATCTGTCTCCTCCCTGTGCTGCAGGTTTGCATAACCCTTTCCCAGACTAGGGCAAGACTCCACTCTGTTTGAGTGCGTGTGCACTCCCAAGTGTCTGAGTAGCCCCCCCGTGCAAGGTCTGCAGACGAGTACATGGTTAAATCCGAGATCTTGCTCTTGGGTTTATAGGCTATTAAGGGAATCTAATACAATTAGAAAATTACACGTCCCAAGTGAGACTAAACAGGTCGAAATTCAGAGAACAATTAAATTTAATTGTGAGGTGTTGGGGAAGACTATGAGAGGTGACTTTTGAACTGGACCTTTAAGGATGGGAAGGATGGGAAGAAGGACATTGTAGTTGGAGCAACAAGAGCAAGAGAGGAGACGTTATGGGGCATATATAAATAATTGATTTGGCTGGAGGATAGGATGCGAGATGGGGAGTAGTGGGGGATGTGGTTGGAAAGATAGATTGGGATCAGGCTAAGGAGTTTGGGTTTTATTGAGTTAGTAATGGGGAGCTGAGAGTTTGAGCAAAAGGGTGACCTGATTCTAGCTGTGATTTGGGAATAGTAACCTAATGAGTGTTTGATCATGTGGGTTTTTTGGTTTGTTTTTGGTTGGGATGGGAGATGTTAGGAGGTTTCCGAGTGAGACCAACAAGAGCCGATGAGTACTGGATTGGGTGCAGCTGCAGTGGGAAGAGAGCCACCGACAAGGATGGATGGACAGGACCGCCAAGGCGCAGTCAGCAGGGACCGGACTCCACAGCTCTGCGCACTGGGGCATTGCACATAGATGCGCACCTTATTTGTTGAATGAACACGTATAATGGGTATTCACAGAATAGGGAGCTCAGGATTGTCTGATCTAGGAAAAGCTCCATGGAGGAAGAGGGACTTGGTTATACTTCTGGTCTTCCTCTGCTAAGACTTTTCCTTCCTAATGCTTTATAATTCTCGGTGGGTCCACTTTCTAATCTAAATTACATGCCTGGAAATTGGTTGGAGGTGTGTCCTAGGCATTCTTTCTCTGAGCTGCCCCTATCTCTTGGCTGAGAATGTGCTGGTGGGGACACTAGTGCTTTAGTATTTGGATCCCACTTGAGTGACCCTAGGTGGTGTTTTATTGGCCCCGAATTTCTCATGATACCACCTTCTGCAGGAGAGGCTTGATGATGGGCTGTTTCAGTGACCTGCACCTTGGTGGAGTCGCTCCTGTTCCTCCAGGGTCTGCGCCTCCACTTTGGAAATCCAGTGTCAGCTCACCAGGAGGTATTCAGGCTCAGGAGGTCTTATCTGAAAAAGAGCAAACACAGGAAACATTAATACATAAGGATGCGGGTAATGGTAGTTTATATTCGAGCTATACCAGGCTGGTCTGCTCAGCAAACCACATCGTGGTGTAAAGGTTTTGTGCTTTTTGTTTAAAATATAAAATCAGAGCATGGGAATGGGAGGCAGCTGTAGGAAGCTGATGAACACAGTGTTTCTCAGTGTGATAACCATGCCGGTAGAATCAGCATCACCTGGGAACTAGTTAGAAATGCAAATTCTGGCCGCTGCCACCCCCTCCAGTCTCAGACCTGGACACTCTGATACAGGTGCCCTGCAGTCTGTGTTGTAACCAGCACACCAGGGGAGCATGAAGTCTGAGTACCACACTGAAGTCTGAGTACCAATGACTTACAAAAACTGTCTAAAAAATCTAAGACAGCTGTCAAAAATTAGAGCACTCTCCCCTGAATAGAGCTTGTTAAATACTAATGTTTTCTTCCTCTCCAGTCCATTTGCCAGACTCTTTGCATTGGGCATTAAATCTTATAAGCTCACAACTTAACCAGTATTTTATAATCCTTAATATTTTGGTCTGATCGACGCCCCCCCCCCCCGAGATCCTAAGGATGGTCTTAATGCTTTCAGCACACATTTGCAAGTTATTAGGTTGGGTTATTTTCAACAAAGATGTCCACAATGGATGATGCTATATATTGATTGTATTTCTTAAAGTAAACTTCCTAAGCTTGCCCTAAAGACTAGGGTGCACCTTACTTGGAGAAGGTATCAGTTTCTTTATTATATGTCAGTTGACCACGCTTTTGCTTGCATCAAATATATGGGCTAATAATTTTCTTCCCTTCCTCCAAAAAGAGAAAATACTAAAAAAGAGAAACCGCAGAATAATTTCTCCTGGGAAGAGTTTGTAGGCTCTAGGCTCTTTAAGACTAGGATGAACGGAAATGCAGAAAAGATAGAAGATAAAACTTAGCACGTTTTACTTTATATTCAGTGGTTAACTCTGGTTTTCCTACGTAAGGCTCTTGGGTTACAGATGAGGAAGATGGGTCCCAGCTTGAGTGGTTTATTCGAGATGTGTGACGGTCTGAATTAAGTGTTGGATTTACTCTTGAGGCACTCCCAGCCTGGAGCCAAAGCTACAGAAGGTCCCCGCCTGGTGGCTGGTGGGTGAGTGGAGACTGGCTGTGGCATAGAAGGCTCCAGAGGACTCTGCGAAGCATCCCTGAGCAGAGTGTCTGCTGGGGAAGTAGATCCCCTGGGGAAGGAGGAGACCCAGGATTCCCAAAGAGGATTTGGGGAAGGGAGAGAGAGGTTTTTGTTTTGGTTTTTTTTTTTTTTTTTTTTTTTTTAGTGAATTAAATTTTTTCCTGAGGTGTATTTGTTCTGGAAAACTAAACAAGTAGTTTTATTTACTTTTTTAAGATTTTATTTAGGGCACCTGGGTGGCTCAGTTGGTTAAGCGACTGCCTTCGGCTCAGATCATGATCCTGGAGTCCCAGGATCGAGTCCCTTATCGGGCTCCCTGCTCGGCAGGGAGTCTGCTTCTCCCTCTGACCCTATCCCCTCTCATGTGCTCTCTATTTTTTTTACTTATTTGAGAGAGAGCGAGCGAGAGAGCACAAGCAGGGAGGAGAGGGAGAAGCAGACAGGGAGTCCCATGTGGGGCTCGGTACCAGGACCCTAAGATCATGACCTGAGCCGAAGGCAGCCGCTTAACCGACAGAGCCACCCAGGCCCCCCAACAAGTAGTTTTAAAACTTTTATCTGTCCCATCTTACTCCACCGCCCGGCATAACGTGTATGCCCAAACTAAGTCACTTTGGGTCCTTTAGAGGCGTTAAACCGGTAAATCTACATATACTTTAGATTCCCCGGCAAGGACTGCCCTTCTTCTCCCATACAGAGGGGGACTCCCACATTTTCTTAGTGTCCTGCACGACTGCTTCATTAGCTCCCGGACTCGATTCTCCCAAGTGGGACGCTGGGGCCCCAACGTCCTGGGGTCGGGGGGCGCGGGTAGGGGCCAGGGCTGGGCCCAGCAAGCTGCTACTACACGGGGCCCGCGGGGAGCCCGCCGCTGGCGTCTACTCCCGCGGCCCAGGCCAGAGGGGGCGGCCGGCCTCCCCACGGGTGACCCCGAGGCCGCCAGGGAGGGCGGGCGCGGGCGGAAGGCCGCGGGCCGCGGGCGTGCGGTCCTTCGGGCTGCAGGGGGCGCTGTGCGCACCCTCGGGCCCGGCCGCGAGCGCAGCTCTTGTTTAAAGGGCCGACGGGGCACGTGGCTCGGACGCAGCTCGCGGCCGCCCGGCAGGAGCTCCGAGGCTGGGCGGCTCCGCTCCGCCTCCGCCGCCGCCTGCGCGCCGCGCCAGGCCCGACAGGCCAGGCCGAGGAGAGCCGCCGAGAGAGGGACGCGAGCAGCCATGGCCGAAGCGGCGCCCGCCCGGGTAAGCGCCCCGGCCAGCGGACGCCCAGACGGGCCGGGGCCGCCGCCGCCGCCGCCGCCGCCGCCAGGGCCCGCGAGGGTCTCCTCCCCGCCGGCGTGGAGCGGCCTCCCGGCCCGCCGCCTCCGCCCAGGCTGGCGCCAGCCGCGTCGTGCCAGCTCGGTCCGCCCCGCCACGCCGGTCTCGTGTCTGGGCCGGGCTTTCGGGCCGGCAGACCGGGCGGCCCAAACGGCAGGCGGGGCGGCGGGGGCGGCGGGGCGGCCCCGACGGCGGGGGACAGGCCGGGCTTCCCAGCAACACTTCAGATGACAGGCCTTGCATTGAAACGGAGTGGCTGTTTCCACCCCGTCCATTGTCTGGTTGGAGGCACGCAGGGAGGACAGGGTCTCCAGCCCCGTGCGGTTCTGACAACCCGAGTCTGAGGCTCAGGGAAGGGACCGGCCCAAGGTCACTCACCTAGTCGAGGCCTTAGTCCGACGTCTAGGCCAAAATTTTGGAATTCCACCCCCATGAAGGTACCCAGGGTTCTACTTTGACCTAAGAGAAAGGTATGGAATGCTGTTTACCAGAGGAATTGTAGGTAGATTTTTTTTTTAAAGATAAGATTTTTTTTTTTTTTTTTAGTTTAACACGTTGGATTAGATTATTTGGATTATTTTGGAATGTTGGCTGGTAATGTGCAGTATGCCCAGTTGGCAGAAAAGAGTCCTTTAGCTATTTTTGACACACCAGAAAATCTCTTGCAAACAGAACGCAGTAAGTGGCTTCTCCTATTATTAATACCTCTTAATGAAGTTTTTGAAACCTTGATTTTTGTGGATCCTTTTAAAGTAGGAGCTTCCCCTCCCTCTCCTTTCATTAATGAGTTTGGTGCTTCCCTTAGGAGTCCCTGAGTGCAAGAGAGAGAAAAGAGGTGGGAATACTGTGGTTTGTGGCCCTGTCCCCTGGGGAATACCCTCCAAGGCATCTCTGTAACTGCGGTGGTGAAATCACCAGCTCCCACGGAACCCGGGGCCACTCCCTCAGAACTTTTTCTGGCCATTTCCGTCCCCTCCCTCCTTTCCCTCTGCCATCTTTCAGTACCCGAGAGTCAAACAGGACAGATTTGCCCCCAACTCTTTCTATACAGAATTTTTCTCCTGGAGAAGGAAGAACCACATAATTTTTTTTTGCATTCCCCCATTGCACCTTTACAATGGCAGGTGGCCAGTAGTTGTTACTGAATGAATGTTGTTTAATTGTGTGGTCATTCATTCATTCAGTAGGTATTCATTGAGCATCTGCAGTGAGAGAGGCACTCTCTTAGAAGCTGGGAATACAACAGCGAATCACACACACCCTCGGGGAACTTATGTTCTGGGGGAAACAAACCAAAACCCAGGCAGATGCATGGAATCATCCTGGATTCTTTTCTTCTTCTTCTTTTTTTATTTTAAGATTTTATTTATTTATTTGAGAGAGAGAGAAAGAGCAAGAAAGAGCACAAGCAGGGAGGAGAGGGAAAAGCAGACTCCCAGCTGAGTAGGGAGCCTGACACGGGGCTTGATCCTGGGACTCTGGGATCGTGACCTGAGCCAAAGGAGACGCTTAACCAACTGAGGCACCCAGGCGCCCTCCAGCAAGGCTTTTAGCATGAGGTACTGGGTGCACATGCTCCGGCTCATGCATCAGGCACCAGGGTGAGTTGAGTCACTCTAGAAGCTCTTTCCAAGGTGCCAAAGGACAATGGAATGAAAAAGGTGGAGAAAAACCCATGGGAACTGCTTCTTGCTGCGTCCCTGAGCCTGAACCATCAGCAGCAGCATCATCAACATCCTTATCATTATCATCTTAGCTGAATCAACGTGGGGCTTGGGTGCATTGAGTATTTACCACATGCTAGACATTGTGCTCAGTGCTTTCAACAAAGATTGTGTCATTCATTCTCACAATCTTCTCATGTGAGTACCATTTTCTAGATGTGGAAGTGAAGTTGAAAGCTGTGTGAAAAACCTTGCCCAAAGTCAGCCAGCTTGGGAGTGGCGGGGTTGCTGCTTGGACCCGGGCTCTCTGGCAGCAGATCTCATGTTCTCTGTGCTTTCAAGCCTGTCCCTTCATTTGCAGAGGAGGAGGAGACTAAGATCCACGACGGAAGCCACCTGAGAACCACAGATGCTTTCTGTCTTTGGCCACGTGTTTCCTCCCGTTTTCCACTTGCTAATTCCTTGGTCTAGCCAGTGTTTCCTGTCCCTCACTGATGTCCCTGCCTCCCTCCCACACCTGCCTGACTGGCCCGTAGGATCCTGGCTGGGGCTTTCCCTGGGCAGGTGTCACCGTGAGGCTTTGTGAAGTACGCATTTTGATGGTGTCATTCTGGTACCATCTCCCCTTTTCTTCTTGTGGACAGGCTCCAGAGAGGGACAAGCAGACAGAGGACGAAAGCCCTTCGACACCTTCTTTGTCACCCCCACCAGCTGCTGAGAAGAACTCCTACCTGTACTCCACGGAGATTACACTGTGGACGGTGGTGGCCGCCATCCAGGCCTTGGAGAAGAAGGTGGACTCCTGCCTGGCCCGCCTGCTTTCGCTAGAAGGGCGGGCGGGGACGGCCGAGAAGAAGCTGGCCGACTGCGAGAAGACGGCCGTGGAGTTCGGGAACCAGCTGGAGGGCAAGTGGGCCGTGCTGGGGACCCTGCTGCAGGAGTACGGGCTGCTGCAGAGGCGGCTGGAGAACATGGAGAACCTGCTGAGGAACCGAAATTTCTGGATCCTGCGCCTGCCCCCGGGCAGCAAGGGGGAGGTCCCCAAGGTATCCCTCGGGCACCTGGGGTGGGACAGCCCGAGGGACTGTGCCTGTGAGTGTGTGGGTGAGCGCGCGCGACACTGTTCCAGGTGCCCGTGACCTTTGATGACGTGGCCGTGTATTTCTCTGAGCCGGAGTGGGGCAAGCTGGACGAGTGGCAGAAGGAGCTCTACAAGCACGTGATGCGGGGCAACTACGAGACGCTGGTGTCCCTGGGTAAGGCTGCATAGGTGGGGATCTGGGTCTGTGTCGCAGATTGGCCTTCAGCAGTCTGTGTCTTTGCTTTGACTTCTGTTCTCCTCGGTGTCTCTCCAGCTCTGTGGGCAGCTGGATGGCGGGTGTCCAGTCTTGACCCAGCTCTCCTTCCGTTCTGTATGCAGATTATGCCATCTCCAAACCAGACATCCTGACCCGGATGGAGAGGGGAGAGGAGCCTTGTCCTGAAGGCCCGTGGGGCCAGGAGGAGGGAAGTAAGAGGGAGGCAGCACGCCCAAGGAGGCCAAGCCCTGGTGAGTGGGAGCGAGACGGGGAATGAGTGGGGCACACTCCTCTCCTGGGCTTTCCAGACGTGCTGTGAGGCCAGGAAGGGGCACATGCCCTGAACCCGAAGTGGGGCCCACTGTGTCCTAGGCCAGCCTAGTCAGGGGCGGGTGCAGAGCTTTTGTCTTAGAGCCGCTCAGTTTCTGCTTCTGAATGAGGGGGCCAGCGGTACTGGCGTCGTGCGGTTGGGTGTTGTGCGGACTCCGGGACACAGCGGATGTCAAGCGTGGACTTGCTGAGTGTTGTGTAAGCGGGTGGCCCTGCTCACAGCAGCATACTGCTGCCTCTCTTGCTTGCCCCTCCCACCTCTGCTCCCTGACATGAACCCGCGGCTATAAGGCCTGTCGTGAACTGGCTTCCGTTTGTGGAAAAGGAGCGGCCCCGACTTCATCCCCGGAGCTGGTGTGGTAAGGGACAGTGGTTCCAGAGTTGACAGCACATCAGAGTCGTCTGGGAGGCTTTTTTAAAAAATAAAATTTAAGAAAATAAATGGAAGTAGGGAGAAGAGTCCAGCAAACCTCCAAGTGACTGTCACACACGTGGAACAGTGATCAGGAGTTGCCACGTTGGCTTCCTCTGTCTGTTCCTTTTCTCTGAACGTAACCGAAATACCAGTGTCACACCCAGCAGATTAACATCTCATCCCAAGTCCGTGTTCTCTTTTCCCCCCCGATTATCTCAAAACTGTTTTCTATAGGTGTTGGGTCCCCTAATGCTGGGACACTGACGTCTACCTGTTGCATTCGATTTATAAAAAGTCTGTTAAAAAGCCTGTGAAAGCCTCCCCCCACCCCGCATTTAACAGCCTTACTGTGATAGAGTTAACTACCAGCCAGTTCCTGGATTAGAGTATACAGCTCAGTGTTTTCACTCTCTTCACGGTTTTGTGACCATCGCCACAATCTGAACTTCCCTTGCCCACCAAAGAGAAACCTCTACTTGTGGACGTTAATTTCCTGTTTCCCTCCCCCTGCTCCCCAGCCCTAGGCAACTTCTCATCTCCTCTCTGTGTCTTAGATTTGCTTCTTCTGGACATTTCACGTAAATAGAGTGCCGTGTGGGACCTTTAGTGACTGCCTTCTTTCACTGAGCGTGCGCTCCAGCCTTACCCACCTCGTGGCCTCTGTCAGTACCTCTGTGGATACCCATGTTACCACATTCTGTTGCTCTGCTCCTCAGTTGATGGACCATCCTCACCTGCCCCTCTTTGGTATCATTTCTTTGTTGACATTCTAACATCATTTATCTTTTTTTTTTTTTTAAGATTTTATTTATATCAGAGAGAGAGCGCGAGCGAGCACAAACAGGGAGAGGGGCAGGCAGAGGGAGAAGCAGACTCCCCACTGAGCAAGGAGCCCGACATCGGGCTCGATCCCAGGACCCTGGGATCATGACTGAGCTGAAGGCAGACGCTTAATGACTTAGCCACCCAGGCGCCCCTATTTTTAGATGTTTAGAAATGGTTCTTTTGACCTTTTCATTTAACGTTTTGAATATGTAAGGCGTGTTACGTTTGCAAAGTCAAAATGGTTTAACAGGATACATTCAGGGAAGTCTTATTTCCATTCTTGTGCCCTCCTTGGCCCTACAGATAACCATTTTTATTAGTGTCTTGTTTATACTTCCAGTGTTTCCTTTCAGAAAGATCAGTAACAGATGAATTTGCTTTCCCCCATCCCTGTCTTACGCAATTTGTCCTCGATATCACTTCATATGTATATATACAGACCTTCCTCCTTTACTTTTGTGGATGCGGAATGTTCCAAGGTGTGAGATCGCATAGTTTGTTTAACCAGTCCCTGCTGGTGGACATTTAAGGTATTTCCAGTATTTTGCTGATATAAATAATGCTGTAGAGGCTACTTTGTGCATAAGGCAGCTCATATTTTTGCCAGTGTATCTTTGGCATAGATTCCTAGAAACTGCACTGCTGGGTCAGAGGTAAATGAATACATAAATTTTCAAGAATTTGGGCGCCTGGGTGGCTCAGATGGTTAAGCGTCTGCCTTCGGCTCAGGTCATGATCCCAGGGTCCTGGGATCAAGTCCCGCATCAGGCTCCCTGCTCCTTGGGAGCCTGCTTCTCCCTCTGCCTCTCTCTCTCTCTCTCTGTCTCTCATGAATAAATAAATAAAAAGTTAAAAAAAAATTTTTTTTTCAAGAATTTATCACCAAATACCCCTCCATGGAGGTTTTATCATTTGCGTCTCCCTCAGTGTTGTGAAAGAGGCCCCTTCCCAGCTCCCCCAGCCTTAAGCAATGACAAGTTTCCCTGGCTATCCATATACATTTGTCTAGCCTGGACATCTCATATGAATGGAATCCTACAATACGTGGTCTTTCGACTCCAGCTTCTTTCCCTTAGCATAGTGTTTTCAGGGTTCATCCATGTTGAACTGTGCATCAGTATTTCATTTCTGTTTTCCTTTTTTTTTATCCTGGTCAAATACACATAACATAAAATTTACCATCTTAGCCATTTTTAGGTGTATTGTTTGGTGGTATTAAATACATTATAGTGTGATGCAGTCCCATCAGAACTCTCCTCACCCTGTAAAGCTGAAACTCTATACTCATTGAACAGTAACCCCTCATTGTGCCCCCTGCCCCAGCCCCTGGCAACCACAGTACTACTTTCAGTCTCTGTGATTTTGTCTACTCCAAGGACCTCATAGGAGTGGAATCACACAGCATTTGTCGTTTCGTGACTGGCTTTATTTCACGTAGCATGATGTCCTTAAGGTTCATCTGTGTTGCAGCGGGTATCAGAATTTCTTTCCTATTTTTAGTCTAAATAACGTGTTGTCTGTGCCTACCACATTTTGCTTATCCATTCATCTGTTGACAGACACTTGGGTTTCCATGTTTTAGCTATTATGAATAATGCTGCTATGGTCACGGACATACAAATACCTCTTGGAGACTCCGTCTTCAGTTCTTTTCAGTATATACTTAGAAGTGGAATTTCTGGGTCATACAGTAATTCTATTTTTAATTTTTTTTTAAAGATTTTATTTATTTATTTGAGATAGAGAGCAAGAGCAGGGGGCAGAGGGGGAAGCAGGAGAGCCAATGCAGGACTCCAGCCCAGGACCCTGGGATCATGACCTGAGCTGAAGACAGACGCTTCACCGACTGAGCCACCCAGGCACCCTCTATTTTTAATTTTTTGAGGACTGTTAACTGTTTTCTACAGTGACTGTACCATTTTATATTCTTACCAACAGTGTGCAGGGGTTCCAGTTTCTCCACATTCTTGTCAACGCTATTTTCTGTTGTTTCTTTTTAATATTAGCCATCATAATGAGCGTGAAGTGGTATCTTATAGTTTCTTTCTATGTCTAGTCTGTTGAATGGTTTTATTATGAAAGGGTGTTGAATTTTCTCAGATGCTTTTTCTGTATCAATTGAGATGATCATGGGGTGTTCTCCCTTCATTCTGTTAGTATGGTGTATTCCATTGATCTAGTTTCGTATGTTGAACCAACCTTGCATTCCAGGAATACACTCCACTTGGTCATGGTGTTTAATCCTTTTTTTTTTTTTCTTCAGGATTTTATTTATTTGAGAGAGAGAGAGTGTGAGGGGGTGGGGTGGCAGAGGGATAGGGAGGAGCAGACTCCCCACTGAGCAAGGAGCCCCAAGTGAGGCTCAATCCCTGGAATCATGACCTGAGCTGAAGGCAGAGGCTTAAATGACTGAGCCACTCAGGTACCCTGGGAACAGGGTTTTTTTTCTTTTCTTTTTTTTCCTTCTTTTTTTTTTTTTATTTGAGTGAGAGTCGGGAGGAGAGGGAGGAGGGTCAGAGGGAGAAGCACACTCCCTGCTGAGCGGGGAGCCTGATGTGGGACTTGATCCTGGGACTCCGGGATCATGACCTGAGCCAAAGGCAGACTCCCAACAGACTGAGCCACCCACGTGCCCCAACGGTATATTTTTAATGGTACCTCTCTTATATGAGTGTGGTTGAGTATCTTTTTATTTGTTTATGGGCCATTTAAATTTCTTACTCTGTGAACTCTTTGTTCATCTCTTTTGCCTTAGGGAGCTTTTTTAAAATGCATACTAATGGATGCCCAGGTGCCTCAGTCGGTTAAGTGTCTGACTTTGGCTCAGGTCATGATCTCAGGGTCCTGGGATTGAGTCCTGTGTCAGGCTCTGTGCTCAGCAGGGAGTCTGCTTCTCTCTCCCTCCCTCCCTCTGCCCCTCTAACCCCTGACTTGTGCCTGCACTTGCACACTCTCTCTCTCTCTCTCAAGTAAATTAAATTAAAAAAAAAAAAAACTGCAGGGGCGCCTCGGTGGCTCAGTCGGTTAAGCATCTGCCTTCGGCTCAGGTCATGGTCCCGGGGCCCTGGGATCGAGCCCCGTGTCAGGCTCCCTGCTCCGCGGGGAGTGTGCTTCTCCTTCTCTGCCCTTCCTCTTGCTTGTGTGTGCACGTGTGCGTGCACGCTCTGTCTCTCAAATAAAATCTCTAAAAATAAATAAATACAATAAAATCTTTTTCAAAAAATGCATACTTCCTAGGCCTACCCAGAACTACTAATGAGAATCTTGGGGTGCTTCCAAGGGGATCCTTATACATCAGCCTGGTACAGGACTTGGGACTGGACGGCACTGTTGTTGTTCTGAGCTGGGAGGCCCTAACGAGCCACACCCTTGGCTCTGCTGTGTCGTGACTTGTCTGGTACAATCAGATGTTCCTGTGCTGTACCTTTTCCTTCTCTTTTAGCCTCTAAGGATCAGTGAAGTCCACTAGCCTGTGTTTGGCCTGATGCCCTCCCATCAGTCCCAGTGACTACAGTCAGCCCTTCCTCAGAGGCTCCTGCCCCCGGGGGGATCTCTGTGTTACCCTTGGTGTCACTGAGTTGCATTTTCCAGGCCTCCCTCCACGCCCAGAGCACATCCTCAGCCCCGTCAGCCCTGCCCGGGAGGAGCCAAAAGAAGGGCAGGTCCCCAAGCACCAGCAAGACTCAGAGGCAAGAGCAACTGTACCTGGAGTGAGCACGGGTGAGTGAGGGCCGCGGGGCAGCCGTGTGAACAGCATCTCAGCAACAGGACCAGACAGGTGCTACTGAGAACGAGTGCTGAAGCGTGAGCGTGGGACAGATGGTGGGCACCAGACTTGGCTGAGCTGGACAGGCCTCCTGGGAAGGGGACCCCCTGAGACAGGTGTTAGAGGAAGGGTAGATTTGGGCTGGGAACGAAGGGCATTTTCCGCAGGAGAAAATGGTCTGAGCCAACGTGTGGGTCCCTGAGGTCTGCTGGGGGCCAGGCCCTCTGGCCTGGCTGGAGTGAGGGGAGGGATACACAAAGGTGGGTCCTGGGCCTCCTCAGGCTTCCTGCCATGGTCACGTTAACCGGACAGTCTGTGTTGTATGCCTAGCACGGTGCTGGCATGTGCCTTCTTCAGTAAATGTCCTCTGTCTGTGAGGGGCTCTGTGGCTTCAGTCCCCCCTCCCAGGGATCTCTGCCTGTGTGTAAAGGAAGTTCCTGTCCATCGTTTTACAAAAACAAAGTATAACTCAGAGGGCATTTGGCATAACGCGTGGCATGTAATCCAGACCCTTGTTGTCTGTCTCCAGACTGCACCTTGCTAGCTTGGCTTCTCCTGTTCCCATGCCTCCTCCTCCCTCCTCCTGCCCGCAGGCTTGACTTTTCAGTCTGGGTTGCTTTCTCTCCGGTTATTTCCGTGACTCTCCCCCAATGACTCTGAGCTCCCTGGGGGTGGAGGTCATCCGCCCTCCCTCCCTGGTGTCCCTGCTGCCCAGCCAGTGTGTAAGGAGAGAGGGCCTTCTCGTCCCACTGCAGCCTGGCACTGTGCCCCCAGGGGCCTCCCCAAACCCGCTGTCCTTCGGAGGCCCGTCAGGGTGACGGAGCTGTCAGCACTGGCCCAGATGGGAACGGGGGCGTGGCCTTCACCGCTCTCCTCTCGCCTCTGAAGCGGACGCCGTGGAGTGGGCAGTCCTCCGGACAGAGCCCTGGGGCCCCCTCTTCCTGGCTGGCGTTTGAGCATGTCCGGGGTCTGCTTAGAGATGCCCGTGCCGTCCTGCACGAGCCCGGTGTCGGGAAAGGCCCTCACAGTGTCTCTCTCACAGGGCCTCCAGCCTCAGTTAAACGGGAGGAAGAATCTTCAGGTGGGGAGTCTCCAACCTCCCCTCCTGGGGACAGCCTGCCCGGCATAGGGCCAGGTGAGTGATGGGAGGGGGCCCTTGGGAGTGGGGTAGGAAGTGGCACCGTGGGCCCTGGTGAGAGGCTTCTTCCAGAGGGGTCCCTTCCTCATCCCCAGGTACTGTTGCCCTGGGGTTCTTGGCGACCCAGACCATCTAGGTCCTGGTTTTCCCCCATCACGTCTGGCCTGGTGGGAAGGTGCATGCTGCTTGAACACAAGCTGCACGCACCAGGTTTGTGGTCTGGTGACAGAAAGGCCTCATGGCAACCCTGTGAAGTGGTTCAGGTGCACAACCTCCAGTGTCTTGCAGTTTGTACATGGTGGCCTACAATTTAAATTTAGGTCCCCCGCCTAGAGGCCACAAAACTGGGCTTACACCCTGATGAGCAGGAAAAAAGAAAGCAATTATTGCCCATTCTCACTTTGGGGTGGTTTTCTCTCCTAATAGAAAGGGATCCAGTTCTCACCTGGTTCCATCCTGGTACCAGCTTTGGTGGGAGGTAGAGGTGAGATGTGGGCCCACCTTGGGGTTGTGGCATGGTGGGAGTCCAAGCTGGAGATGGGCTTCAAATGAAGAGGTCTGGGAACCTTGGCCTTCACATGGAATAGGGCCTGAGACCCACACTAATCCCTAAGTTTAGGAACACCACGGTAGCCCATTGAATGCAACAGTTTAGATGCAAAGTTTAGATGATTCTTACAGACTCTTCACCGATTCTGTAGCTGGAGGACTAAATTACAAACCGCTGGGTCATTTCCAACATAGAAATAAAAGTTCTGTCAGGAGTTATTTGTGAGGGTTGCTGGGAAGCTGCACTGAGTAAGAACCCCAAGGTCTTGATACCAGGGGCTGGTCCAGAAGGTTCAGCAGTTAGCAACAGTCTCCTGGGGTGGGATTTCAGTTCATGCTTCGGCAAGGATAGAAATTGCTCTTGCCCTAGACCTTGGAAATTGCTGGTAGGGGACTAAAGATTTTGTTTTAATAGAGAGTAAGGTTTGCGGTCAGCCTTTGAGCAGACAGCTGAGCCGCTGGGTACTGGGGGAGGTCAGAGAAGCCAGTAGTCGGGGCTGATTCCAGAAAGCCCAGTGGGGAATAGCAGTTGAAGGATCTTGAAGAATGCACAGTGTTCCAGGTAGGGTCTGTGGCCGGGACCTTCCTTCCCAGCATCAGGGACCCCTGTGTTGCCTCAGAGCCCCCCTCTCTCCAATGTCCTGGCAGTTCCTATGCCTCAGTCCCACCTCAGAGTCAAGTGTGACTCACACTGAGGTTCAACCAGGAAGCCTAGGTCCTCGTGCCTCCTGCCTGTCCCTTGAGAGCAGGTGCCAGACAGGTAGTGGATGCTCAGTGTTGATTTGTTATGTGGATGAGTAGCTTGGAGTATGACTAAGACACCTGCCACCTCCAGGCCTGAGGCTGCTTACCTAGTCCAGTGGCCCCAGGGCTCACTGTCCTTCATCGGTGGGAACTAATGTTATCAGAATTCTTGGGGATCCCGTGTGGCCAGTGTATCTCAGGGTCCAGGGGCTCCACTGCATCCTCCACCTGTTGTCTTTCACTCCATCTGGCCTCTGACCTCCCCCTCCTCGGGTCCCTGGCTCCTGGTTTTGCGGCTTTGTCTCCTCTCTCCAAGCTTGGCCTCCAGGAATGGGCCATTGGAACATCTGGGCCACGTGACCATAAACAGACTGGATGATGTTGGGAGGCCGTGCCTGCTCGGTAGGGCCAAGTGCACAGGGTCCCTGCTGTGTGTTCTGAGCACGTGCAGGAGAAAGGACTCCAGGAAAGCAGGAGCAGGATGGGTGCAGAGGTGGCTAGGGATGTGCCTGGGGGCCAGGGCTGGGGGAGTGGCTTGGGTGAGGGCTAGTGTGGCCCACTTGAAATCAATGGAGAGTCCTTTCTCCAGGTGGTGGTGGTGGTGTGGTCATTAAGACAGAAGCACAATCTGAGGACGAGATGATGCCTGAGCAGCTCTTCCTGGGGGAGTCCCGTAGCCAGCCCGTGTGTAGAATGCCCAAGGGGCCCAGGAGCAGGACCGGGGGCCCTGGCCGGCTTCATGCCGCAGGAGTGCCACGGGTGCGGGCGGGGGACCCGCGGCCGCCAGGGGCCGTGGGGGAGCCGCCCCGCATCCTTCCTCGCCGGCGAGAGCGGACCTTCCCCTGCCCTGACTGCGGGCAGAGTTTCCGCTTGAAGATTAACCTGACCATTCACCAGCGGACCCACGTGGAGGAGGAGCACAGGGAGACGCCGGGGAGCCCGCCCCCGGGCTGGGGGGAGGCCCACCCGGCTCTGGAGCCGGGGGAGGTGGTGGTGCCGGGCCCTGTCATCCGCTGGCTCCCCGAGGAGCCCGGAGGCCACCGCTCCCTGGCAGGCAGGCCGTGCATGGGGCGGCGGCCGGCGACCAACAAGATGTACCACTGCAGCGAGTGCCTGCGCTTCTTCCAGCAGCGGAAGAGCTTGCTGCTGCACCAGCGCCTGCACACCGGCACCAGCCAGGGCTGGCCGGCCTGTCCCTACTGCGGCAAGGCCTTCCGCCGGCCCTCCGACCTCTTCCGGCACCAGCGCATCCACACTGGTGAGCGGCCCTACCAGTGCCCGCAGTGCGGCCGGGCCTTCAATCGGAACCACCACCTGGCTGTGCACATGCAGACTCACGCCCGAGGCCAGGCCGGCCCGCACTTCCCTGCTTCCTCTGCCCTCCCTGGGAGCCCCCCGCTGCCCCGGCCCAGCCACAGCCAGGAGGGCTGAGTCGGCAGGAGCCTGCAGGGGTACCCTCCGGCTCTCCTGGGGCACCCCCCGCAGGACTTCTGTCCACCTTCAGGCCTTTCCCCTTGTGCCTGACGCTGGTTCCTCGTTCCGGAGTAACTTTGGAGAAAACTTTTTTTCATTCAGATGGGAAGCAGCGGCCTTTTTGGTGACAGTGTGTGTGTGACCAGATGCCTCAATTTCTTGTTTCCTAAGTTTGTCACTTTTTGCCGCCTTTTCTACATTCCTGACTTAGAAAGGATCCCTTAAGGCTTAGAGGATGCCAACCTTCGGGGAGAGCAAGAGGACTGGAGATAGAGGCCTTTCCAGTAGGGGGCGATAGAGACATGGAGAGCCTGCAGTTTTGATACTGCCCACAGAGGTCACAGCAGATGGACAGTTTGAAGAGTAGGCACTGGAAATTTGAGTTTCCTACTGTGTTATTTTGAAACCTTTTTTTTTTCTTTTCCTCCATACGGAGTTTTTCTAGTGCTTTTGTAAGTGTTAAGTGTGGTTGCAAAGGGGACCAGGAGCCCTGAGGGTCAGGAATTATTCTGCCACCTCCTTGTGTGTGGGGATGGTAGAGGGGCTGTCCAGATCAGCCCGGGTGTGGGAGGATGCTTGGCTGCTGCCCTGGACATCTGGTGCCTTCCCGGGTATGCGTTCTTTGGCCCAGAATGATTCCCAATATCCCAACGTCCGTGATTGATTTTGGTTATTAGTTGAGAGGGGGAAACTGAGGCCTGGAGTGGCTGACCCTTCCCCCAAGGTCTCAGTATTATGGGTATGCACACTCCATGGACTGGACCCCGCACAACACTTTAGGGATGGGGGAGATGCAGACCCAGCCCAGGAAGCTCCTCCCAGAGAGGAAGATCCTGATGTGGGTGAGGCTGGTCAGCCAAGCTGGATTCCTGGGCTACCAGGCCTGAATTGTCACATTAAAGGAGCAGTTGGTTTCCAAGAATTTGGGGCTGGTAGCAGAGCTAGGCCAGGATTTTTTTAACCACCTCCAGCCTCATGTTCCTCATCTGTCAAAGGGGGTAATGACCCCAGTGCATCCTACCTCACCTTAGGGTTTTCAGGGTCATAAAAGATTGAGGCAGTGGGCCAAATAGGAAGCCTGGTTTTGTCTTTTTCTAGTTCAGGGGGGGCCCCCCCTTTCTCTTCCATGTTCATCTCCAGCCCTTTGCCCCAGTCAGAATCCCTCAGGAAGGACCTTTCTTTTCTAGAGTGAGTGGAAGGTCCCTTGGGTGCAGAGTTAGGAGAGACTTTCCCATTGGGCTATATCCCCAAGGAGCCCTTTGTATTTCAGTGGAACAAATTCTTACCAAAGCAGTGAGGTTCAAACCGTAGAAGTTCGGGCAATAGCATCAGGCCTCCTGGAGAAGTCTTGATGGCAGCTAGCATCTTGTGCCTCTTAAATCACACCACTTTGGGTGACGCCTATAGACCAACCCTTGGTTTGGGAGATTTAAAACTGGGTCCTCGGCTATTTTGATTGTTGTCTTACTTGCCTTGGCACTATGTGAAGTGGCAAGCATTCAGACCTGCTTCCAGGTGCCTGGGTCTCTGGCTCTGCCACTTCTTGTTGCCCCTTTGACCCTCACCCCACTCCCAAAGTCATGAACAGAGTTGGGGGCAGATGGGAACGTTGCCATCATCTCTGGGGCAAGAGTGAGTATGCAAGTCGGTTGGGAGCCCAGCCAAGTTGCCCTGGGCTTGGGAAGAAGAGCTACCACCCTCCCCTGCTGTGCATTCTGCTTGTCTGCTCCGGCATCCCCAACCCTCACCAGGGGCCCCACCAGTCAGAGCTGGGCTGTCAGCAAGTGTTCAGACAGGATATGGTGCAAATGGAGCTGCTCTGAGCTTACCCCTCCACTTTAAGAGCTAGTTTCAGGTGTTTCCTGGGGATGCCTCAAGGCTCAAAGTTCCTAGACCTTTCTAATGCTTAATGTCCTGTGTAAACACAGGTACTCCCGCAATAGCACAAGCTAGGAGTGATCGCTGGACACAGGCCCTCCCATTTCTTCCAAAGCACTCAGTGTGCCGGGTTCCTGGTTAGGCCTTGTCAGTTTACCTGGCACACATGCATCGTGGTGCCGGAGCAGAGCGGTGCTCCAGAACCCTGGAGGCTAGAACCTGGTTTGGCCTTCGACTCGCTCCTAGCTCTGCGTCTTGGCTTCCTCATTTGTAAACAAGGAAGGGTGGGGTCCTGGTGCTAAAGGCTCTTAAGAACTGTGACGGTGGCGGCCCTTTGCCTTCATCGGTGCTCAATAAATATGTTGAACTGAAGGAGTGTGCGCGTGACCTTCCTGCTCTCCGGGAGTCAGCCCTCTAGGGGAGCCCGTCCAGGAGGCGGGCCCGCAGCCCCGCACAGGCCGGGGATCCCGGGCTGCGGCGGCGCGCGAGAGCAGCCCCCACGCCAGGCGCCTTCAGTCGCCTTCAGTCGCCGGCCCCGCCCCCTCTGGGCGTCCGCTGCGGGGGCGGGGCCCCTCGCCCGACCAGTGGGAAACAGGCTCCCGGCGGCCGGGACCCGCCGCGCGCGGGCCGGGGGCGGAGCTTCCAGGGCTGGCCAATGAGGAACCTGCTCCGGGACGCGGGGCGGGTCCCACTCGGGGCAGGGCTGCCGCCTGCCGGGGTTGCCGCGACGCCGACGCCGACGCCACGTTCGCCCGCGGCGTCTCCGCCGCCCCGCGCTGCTAAAGCGGGCCGGGGCCGACGGCTGCTCGACAGCCGGGGGGACGATGACCACCGGGACGCTCGAGGCCACAGCGGCCACCGGGAGCTGTCCGAAGTCAACGATAAAGTACCTTCTGCTTTCTTGGCTGCAGTTTGCTAGTCTGCGGGCTTAGCCAAAGATTTGCGAGGTTCCCGCCAGCCCTGACGATTGGCCGAGCCAGCTCTGGGGGGCGGGGGTGGGGGCGGGAGGTCGGGGGGAGGGGGAGGATGGACTGCGAGCGTGTTCACTCCAGAGACCCTTCAGGGCTTTCCTTTTTTGGACCTGTCCTTCAGCCCACCCACTCCGCCCCCTGCACTGGCATGTTAAGGAGACCATCATCGCATTGTCACCCCCTTTTCCATACTGAGACCAGTTGCTGTTGTCTTGGGAGGTTATTTTCCCGCCAACCTAGGCCCTCGCCTTCCTCCTGTGGAGCCGTCTTGCACCTGGCTGTGAGGATCCCCTAAAACTCTTCTAGGCACGAGCTCTGATTTCAGTCAGGATGCATTTGAGGGCCTGCTTGCTCTTTTCCCAAGTTCCCCAAGAAGTCCTCCCTAATGCTGCTGGGAGGGGGTCTGTGTTATAGAGGACCTTTGGTTATGTGTGCTTCAGGCTCAGATTTGACTTAGTCTGTCCCTGGCCTGCATGACAAGAACTGTCAAGACGAGATTTTCCCACATCTCCGAAGGAAGAGGTGTCATCTCCTGGTACAAATAGCTTTTTTTAAAAAATTTATTTTTATTATTTTTTAAGATTTTATTTATTTGACAGAGAGAGATCACAAGTAGGCAGACAGGCAGAGGGAGAGGGAGAAGCAGGCTCCCCTCTGAGCAGGGAGCCTGATGCGGGGCTCGATCCCAGGACCCTGGGATCATGACCTGAACCGAAGGCAGTCGCTTAACCAATTGAGCCACCCAGGTGCCCCTAGAAATAGCTTTGAAATGCTTTTAGATACATCCCTGAGTGCCAGATTTGTGACAGGGCATTACAGGACTAGAAGATGTTCATCCTTAATCTGTGCAGACCAGATCTTCCTCCTCCAGGCTACACCTCGTACTGATGAGAGGCCAGACTCAGAGATGGAACAATTGCCCTGTAAGAGAAGAAAGGAAGGGACAGGTGTTTGATGACCAGTACCTAGTATGTGTTGGACATTTTGCGAAGCGCTTTTTGGAGGAGGAATTGAGGGAACCTCGGTTGCACAGAATTGGGCTATTGGTCTTTGGTTCATAACACATTCTGATTATTGGCCCTCAGCTTTTATGTTTGTTTTAGTAATAATAACATGTGCCAAGGGCAGCAATACACACTGAGTGCTTTTCCACACCTTCAGTTCACTTCATCCTGACAACTACCCCCAAGACATGCAAGATTCAAATGGCAGGGGAGGTATTGAGTCAAGTTCTAGTTAAGTTCCATTTCCAGCAATGTTTCCATTATATCTCGGCTGTCCCCAGGGAGGCACTCCTGAATTTCTTATTTTATTACTTCTAGTAATATATGATAAATTTTCCATGTCCTGGGGCAGGATATTTTTTGAAATATTTTTTTGTTCTGACTACTCTTAAGTGCTGGCTTTCAACTTTCTCTGGCTCCATTTCCTGGCAGCTAGGACCTAGCCTCCTAGTGTGAAGGGCACCCAGGGGCTGGTAAACAAGGCACCTGGGTCACAAGGCCCTAATAGGTCAGAAGGTCACATGCCAGTGAATGTTGGGGTGGAAGGGCCTTAGAGATACCAAAGCCAGAACAACAGAACCTTACCTCTGAGTCCTGAGTAATGGGGTGGGTTTGCTCTAGAATACTCGACAACTGAAATGGCATTCTGAGTGTGCATTTGTCTCCTGGGAAGTTTTCTGGACCGCTCACTTCCTCACTTCTGCTGGGCTATGTTCCCAGATGCAGAAAAAAAGTTTGGTTAAGTAATTGCCTAAGCTAATATTGCTATTATGTGGTAGAGCTATGATTTGAATCCATTACACTCTGTCCATTCGTGATGGTAATGCTTTGTTATTCATTTTCCATTGCCCCTGGGTCTTGGTTCAAGATTCTTCCCTTGGGGGCTCTGTGGTGTCCAGTGTCCACTGTCTTTGAAAGTCTGCCAGCAAGGGTCTGTTTGGGGGTCTGACCAGTGAGGTCTTCTGGCATGCAGAACAAGTTTCCCCCATTCTAAAAGACCCTGTAGCTGGGAATGGCTCTGGTACCT